TTTTGGATATTGTATCATGGTAAACACTTCTCTGTGTGTTTGTTTTGTATGTGTTGTTTGTCTGTCTGTTATATAATAAAATAAAACTTATCAAAAAAAAAAGAAAGAAAAAAGAAAATAAGGTACCTTATATTTGGAACCATTATGGGAAGATAGATAGATAGATAGATAGATAGATGACAGACAGACAGACAGACAGACAGACAGACAGACAGACAGACAGACAGACAGCTAGATAGATATCCTTGTCTCCACCATCTACAAAAGTTGTGTGTGTATATATATAAGCACTGCTACAGCCGGGTAGGTGGGGCTCGTCAGCCATGGAAGGCAGCCCATCTAGGAGAAGGAAAACTCCAATTTCAAACCTCCACTGCCTTGTGGCTATATTCACCAATGGAAAAGGCTTCAGGAGTTAACCTCGAGCCAAAATCCGGAGCTGGAGTCCCAAAGGCAGCTCGTGTCGTTCTGCCAACTCCTGCGACGTTGCTGGAACCAGTCGTATTGGCTCTTGCCTTTCCATTGGACCATTTCAGCAATGTGGAGAGGGGGGATCTGCTGCTTGGGTAACAGCCTAGCCTCCATATTACCTTACCCGGGCTTCATGCTCTGGAGAGGACACTCCTCGATTCAGAGCATGTTACCATAGTCTCTCGAGACTGAAGGATGCCTATGACTGCTACAGCATGCCCAAGTATTTTCTTTGTGCCATGTCCACCTATGGACTGATTCCTATTGCAACAGTTAGAAGCCTATGAACAATGGGAAGAATGTATTTGGAACTTTGAAAGTTACATCACTCACGAAGAGTACAAAAGTCATAATGAATTCCAACAAATGGTTTTTGTTTTTTGAGTGAGAGTCACTGGAAAAGAACAACTTAATAGGGGAGGGGGAACAATGTTGTTATGAAGCCAGTGATGACAGGAAATACCAAATATATTTATTTGTAAGTATTTAAAATGTAATGGGCAATTTCTCACATCACTGCCTTTATCATAATACTGACTACCTTCCTGTGCTGGTAAACACTCCAAAGAGTGCTTTTTTCTCTTTTCATATTTGTATCAGCTGCATTTAATACCAACTAGCATAATGAACTCTTGACAGTTTTGAACTCTGAAAATCTTAAATCTTCTTTTGGAATTGCATGCTTTGTTCTGAAAAGATTTTGAGCACAGTTGCACTTTCAAAAAGAAAAAAAGCTTTTGGATTGAGTTAAGCAGGTTTTTAACTGATTTTAAAATATCTGTTCACATGGACATGGCACAAAACTTAGTGTACATATTTTACCTGGAAAACTAATCATTTTAAACAACAAGGAAGGGGTTGTTTATTTTAACTCGTTAGTGAATCCAATTTATTTTGAATTGATTGCATGTGTGAATGCCTATATTAGTGTTAATTGTGTCTTGGAGGTCTGTCAGAACACATGCTAACTCCAAAGGAGGGGGGAAATGAATCATTTTACCTCTCCTTTACCCCTCCTTACCCTCCACATGAGAATATAAACCAGAGGCTGGCAAGGTGGAAGACGGGGAGAGAATGCAGGCAGTCACAAAGAAAGCAGCTCCAAGAGGCAAAATGACTGGGAGGAAAGTGAGACTGAGAGACAGACCCTGAGAATATCAGTCTACCAAAAGACACTGAAGGAAACTGAGGTCAAAGGGTAGAAAGGATAGATAGGATCCCTACCTAGTCTACACCCAAATGCCCCTTGTGGTCATCTGGACTGACCAGATGCTAACAAGTGATGCCTAGAAGAAGCCATGCCAACAATTCTAGATTCTCACATCCTTTGCCAGGGTTCTCAGGTATAAAGGACTCAGCAGTGGTTTAACAATCTCTCCTTCTTGTGGCAAGCTAGGACTGTGCAATTTGCCCAAGGCTACACAATCTGGATCTTCTCCCAGGAGGTACATTAGCTCTTCTAAATTCTTGACCCCTGGCTCTACAACCAGGTAGTCCAACTTTCTGAGATGACACGTAAACCTAAATCCTACATTACCTAAAACAGGATCATTGCCTGATAATATCTGGCTATGTTGTATAATTATTTTAAGCCAGGCAGAGAGAAGCAAAGTTGTATCTCCATTTTGTCCATGATGAAAAAAAAAATGGCCCGAGTAACCATTCCTGTTGAAATGCCAAAATTCCACTCACCAAATCATTGATCTATTTGATACTATGCCCCCCCTTTTTTTACAAAACTGTGGAAGCAAACCAACATTTAAAAAAAGCTCTAGCTTCTGCTACTGTGGTCTAAGGGACGTGGTGGCACTGCAGGTTAAACCGCAGAAGCCTCTGTGCTATAAGGTCAGAAGACCAGCAGTCATAAGATTGAATCCACGCAACGGAGTGAGCTCCCATTGCTTGTCCCAGCTCCTGCCAACCTAGCAGTTCGAAAGAATGTAAAAATGCAAGTAGATAAGCAGGTACCACCTCGGTGAGAAGGTAATGGCATTCCGTGTCTAGTCGCGCTGGTGACATGACCATGGAAACTGTCTTCGGGCAAACACTGGATCTATCGCATGGAAACGGCAATGAGCACCGCCCCCTAGAGTCAGACATGACTGGACTAAATCTCAAGGGGAAACTTTACCTTTACCTTACTGTGGTCTACTCTAATCAATTGTTTAATTAATATTTATTTGTTAGAAAAGCATGATTAAGCAGGTCACCACACAGAAAACAAGTCACACAAGCTACATTTAATAAGCATATAATTGTTAGATCACAAAAACTACAGGCCTATAATTTCTGTAATGAAAACAGAAAATAAACGAAAAGGACTGTTCAATCTTTATAAATTTAATATGCATGAAGAAACAAACAAGGCAGGAAGGATTAGAAGGATCATGGTGATAATACAAGTATGGCGTTCTGAATAAGTCCTGGATAAAGGCATCAAAACAAGTGGACAGTCTTTAGCACACTTCCATGTATGCACACTCTTTATGCCTTAACATGGTACGTTTTAACTGTTTTATTCTACTAGTTGTAAGCCGCCCAGAGTCGTCAATGACTAGATGGGCGGGATATCAGTCAGTCAGTCAGTCAGTCAGTCAGTCAGTCAGTCAGTCAGTCAGTCAGTCAGTCAGTCAGTAAGTAAGTATCAATGAAGAGAGGATTATTGGAGGTAGAGTCAACATGAATAAGGAGATGGTAGAAATATATATTAATATTATAGTAAGAAGGATTGTCCGTTTTGGTGGAGGAAACAACAGTACTGCATGCACCCTAACACTGTGTTTCAGTGGGAAGGGGGCTTTACGGCCTAATATAAATATGCTGTACTACTATTTTCCTGAGCATGAAGCAATCTCCTGCCCCCTCTTCCTGTTTACTTTCATTGTTTATTTTGCTGCTTCATTCTTCTCTGAGTTTCAACCTCAGCAAACATGTAAACTCTGCTCCTGCCCTCTGATTGTGCTATGGCCAGCATGGTGGACTTCAGTCTTCCAACATGACTGAGACTGCAATTTCTTGCTTCATCCTTTTTATTCTTCTAATTGTATCTGATGTTCCACAACTCCAAGTAAAGATGTTCTTTTTTTCTACTTAAGCTACTTTTAGGGTAATTTTATCTAGCAGAATGCCTTCTCCCACCTAGATCTACTCGAGTCACTCGCTATAGCCAGAAAAGATGGCTGAGGGGCCTAACACCAAGAGAGGCCCAGAAAGAAAGAACTAGAAACCGGGCCTTCTCAGCAGTGGCCCCTCGACTTTGGAACAGCCTGCCGCCAGAGATCCGCCTGGCACCTTCTCTGAGTGTTTTTAAGAGCCAATTAAAGACTTGGTTCTTTAGGCAGGCCTTCCCTCCTGTCAATACTTGACTTTTATTTCTTACTTAGTCTTTTGTTTATATTTTCCCTTCTTGATTAATACTTTATTTTCAATTTAATTGTTGTTTTAACTGTTTTATGAATAATTTTATTGTAAGCCGCCCTGAGTAGACATTGTCTAGAAGGGCGGGATAAAAATCTAATCAATCGATCGATCGATCGATCGATCGATCGATCGATCGATCGATCAATCGATCAATCAATCAATCAATCAATAAAATTTTATATACAAAGGGCTAGTCACTATGAGAATAAAAGGGGCTGGGTGGAAGATAGGACTTTTAGTTATTCACCTTCATGATTCCCTTTTGCTTCAGATAACTTTTATATTTTATGCTCTGCTAGCTAAAAGGAATAAACCAAAAATGCCTTCAATATGTTTTGGAGAGGAGAAAAATCATGCCTTAGTAGGAATTTTAATCAAGATTTTGACATCAATCAATCAGGCATGACTCAAATATACCCTGACAGCCACCACTATTTCTGTTATCAACGTTAAGTGTTCTGAGCCCAGTGAACCCGGCTGATATTTCTTCTTACAGGAGTATTCACAGTCACCATGATTAAACAAGAACAGGCCTATTGCTGCAGATTTTACTACAGGTATCTGGAAAATGTACTCAGCCCTATCTGTGGCATGCCAGTTCTAAGGACCTGTAGTGTGTCAGTTCTGTTTGCCTCAAATAGAAAGGTGCTTCTGTTCACCAGTTCACAGATTTAAGCAAGTGACAGAATTTGGTTGGTACACATTGTGCTTTTCAAATGACTCATACAGTTTTTGTTGCTTTTTATTTGTTTGATTTAACAGCATGATGGTTTCAATTTTGCTTTGAATTAAATGTTTCTGAAAGGCAGCAAACAAGTTACAGAACAAAAATAAACAAAAATGGTGCAGAAAAGCTTTTCTACGTACAAGTCCCTGTTTGGCAGGGAGCACCATGCCTAGATAGCAACAACTCAAGAGAGTTTGAACAATACTAATTACATCTCTGCCTCTTTGTTTAACACAAAAGCAAAGTGCCTGGAATTGATTTGCCCACAGAATCATTTGTTTCTTCAGAGTGCTTCCTACTTTTATACAATGCCCTGGCATAAAGCATTAAGCACAGAGTATCGGTTTACATTGTTTTACAGAAGGCACTGCTCTTTGCTTACCTGTGCTCCATCTCTCGGATGGACAGGATAACACCTGAAGTCGATGCCTGCTGTTGTAAGGTGGCCAGAAATGTGAATTCACTTTTATTCCGGAAGAGCTGGATTAACTTCTCACTTGTGTGAGGTGCTGCATGAATTTCTCTGTCTGTAGCTAGGAAGAGATTAATTGGGAGGGAAAAGAGAGGAGGTGGGTGAAACATGCTGTAAAAATGTTTATGTCTGACAGAGTAAGAAAATACTTTTGATTTCTGCCTCCCAAAATAGTCTTCATTTTCACTGTATGCTACAGTTTCACTCATACAGTGGAAAAACAGAAAACATCTGTACATATGTCCCCCATTTGTCACACAGACAAGTTCATAATCAGGCATTCGTTGATTTTCTGACAGAACTTCTGACAGGGATGCTGAGACATTCATGTCTGCAGTGAGCAGATTACCTTCCTGATTCATGAGGTGTACTGAAACAAGATAATAGGTTCCCATATTCAGAAGGACTGACTTCTCTTGAGTCACTTACTAAGCTCAAATTTCAATTTTACTACTGTGTACATTTCTCTCTTCCCATGATACATCTAGAAAATCTATCCTTGTTATTGCTAGCACTGTTCCACCATCACACCTTTCCTTACCAAATGTATTTACTTGATTTATTTACTGTGCTTTAATACATTGGAACATGAAACATACTGATAGCAACAAACATCATTGCAGAGACTTATCACTTCAAGAATGCTTGTTGCATGTAGTCTTTATTAGACAATAGTCTAACATTTAAAGATGCATTTTTTTTTAAAAAAAAAAGCAAAACATGCTGCTTATATGCCACCCCATAGTGCTTAAAGTACTCTCTGGGTGGTTTTCACTCCCAATAAGTTGGGTACTCAATTTATCGACCTCAGAATGATGGAAGGCTGAGTAAACGTCAAGCCAGCTATCTGAGATTGAACCCGAATCATGAGCAGAGTTTTGATCCTCATGACATAAAGGAATCGGGGGTTTCCATTCCTTTATCAAAGCAGAAATAGGCATAACCACACACTCAAATCAAACTCATGTTTCCTTTACATCCTGTTATTTTCCACTACTGCCATTGTAGCAGAAGGAAGAACACAGGTGGGAACTAAATCCAACCTACATTTCTTTTTTCTGCTTTTCAGAAAGCATATTTGTGAGGTAGCTGGGAGAGAATTGTCATCATTTCTGGCCCTAAATTCCATTGCTATTGTTTTATCCACTCTTTATTAAGGGTCAGGTTTCAGAGGTGAGATCCAGTGAATCACTCCTACCAATAGAACAGCTTCTGTAAGCAGAAAAAGGAAGAAAATGAACCGTCCTCATCTCCCTTGTGCATCCGCAAAATCTGTCCTTGGGGTACAGGGTAACCTCTGGTTCAAATTCGGGGGGGGGGCACAGAGCAAGAGCAAAAGCAAAGCGTGCTGCTTATATACCACCCATAGCGCTTCAAGCACTCTGTGGGCGGTTTACAAGTTAATTATGCAGGCTACACATTGCTCCCCCCCCCAGCGAGCTGGGGACTCATTTTACAGCCCTCGGAAGGATAGAAGGCTGAGTCAACCTTGAGCCCGCTACACGGGATTGAACCCCAGGTCGTGAGCACAATTTTGGCTGCAGTACAGCAGCTTAACCACTGCGCCACGAGGCTCAGATAGGAAGAGGCTGCAGATAGGAAGAGAGATGGAATAAATCCTATCACACAAGCACATGTCTACTAATGCTATATTGAATTTCACTCACAACTAGATTCAGAATAACCCCCTTTTCTTAGCATGATTTATGGTATCCAATGCCTTCCAAACATGGATGTGCAGCATCTGTCCAGCCTTCTCCCTCTGACCAGTAAAGTCTAGGAAGAGATGAAGGCCAATGAGAGGTGTATTGCTGTTGCAGTTCACATACCATTAAGCCACTCTAACCATGATTATCAGGCTTTTTACAGCTGACACTACAAAAATGAGAAGGATTAGAAAGCTAGATTTGCAACATATACACGTTATCTACAGTTCAAGATACATATGATTTTATATGCCATATACTCCTATTAACAAGAACATACACTGTTGCAGGAGAGTGAATAAAGAAATAGAAAAAGAAACTTTTCTGACATTGTAGCATATAAAAAGAGCATCCAGACAGGCAGACGCTAGGATTAATCAGTATCTTTCTTCTCTGTATCACTTTCATATGGGTTCACAGATAAGTCCCTTTTATACTATTCTCATATTATCCCAGTTTTTAAAAAAAGCATGAAAGAAATTATATTTAAATAACATTTAAGCATGTGTTTTGAGGCATTTCTCTTAAAACATGCATTTAAACCCCAATGTAAAATATACATCAGACTGTTTTTTTAGGTCAAGACCTTAGCCACAATATTGAGAGGACAAAATCTTACAGGGGGCTGTGCTACATATTAGTCTAGGAGAGAAAGAACACATCATGTCAAAGCAGAGTTCACAAAGACTGAAGTCCTCAAGCACTCCTAAGGAGCACAATTGTCAAATCCCTTTTTTTTTCTATTCTTATAGAAGTTTTGTGAAGAGGTTAAAGGACTTGGAATATATAAAAAATTGAAATACATCTGGACTTTCTGTGTAAACCTAGCAGAGCCTGGTGAATTTTTACACTTTGGAACCAGCTTGGTTCACACCTCCATCTTCTGAGTTCCTGCCATCTGTCATTTCAAAGAGTTTGAGTTCAAGAGGAGTTTATCCCCTGAACTCTATCCTTTGTTTATTCCTTGTCTTCTGCAGACCAAATGGCTCTGGCTGTGCCTCAGGGCCTGAAGGTCTGCAAATTGGGATAACAAGTCAGAAAGGCTACCCTTTGTCAAAGATCTTGTGATTTTTTTTGTGCCAGGATTTCTTTCT